AAACTGTCTTCATCTCAACCCATGAGTTTTCTCACTTTTACCCTTCCGATTCTCTCCCCCATCCCACCGGGGGGGAGTGAGCGAGCGGCTGCGTGGTGCTTAGTTGCCGGCTGAGGTTAAACCACGACAACCTGCCAGCTGGTTAGCACAGGCTTAGCTGTGGACCAGCAGCAGCGTGTGCTGGTCACCACCCAACCTGCAGATGAAAGAAAGGCTGATAAGGACATGCTGGAGCTGCAGGCACTGTGTCTTGGGCTCGTGGAGAGTGTGCAGGGAACCAACCTTCATTTGTTTCACTGCTTATGAATCCCTTGAGTTTATCGCTTTGGTGAGACCCATAAAAAGCTTTTTTAGTGCCGGGAACCAAAGTTGGGCTGACTGCTCTGTAATTCCCAAGTGCTCTCCCTTTCCCTCTCCCTCTCCTGTGAGACCCCAGGCTCCTTCTTAAGGTCCTAAATGTACCTGCTAGTGGCTTGGAAACGAGCAGCTTGCATAGGTAAGGTAGGGTGAATGCCATCAGACTGCCAGCCTCTATTGCATCTATCATGTTTATGTGACCTTTCACTGCTCCTTGTGTATTGGGCTCCATGCTTTAGGTAGAACAGGCACTTTTCAATACTGAGCACTTTCATAAATGAAAAAGCCTTGAATGTGTCAGTCTCCTCCGTGCCAAGCTTTATCTTCCCTCTTTCCTGTAAGTGAGGGCCTGCATTGTTTCTTTGTCTTGGCCTTATTCCTAAGGTATTTCCAGTACCTTCCCTTACTGCCTTTTATGCTCCTGGGCAGTTGCATCAGGGTTTTGTGGTGTTCCTTTGAGTAACCAGCCAGATGGGAACGTCTCTGGGAATTCTCTTCTGAGAAGTGCAACCTACCACTTCGCTGAGTTTATTCTCTCCGCGGCCTGTTGTTTGGATCAATCCACACCTCCCGGGGTATTTAATACATCTGCAGGCTGGAAATACTTACTATCATGCTCAAAAGTGTAAGGCATATCCATGAATGATTGCAAGAGGGAGATAGCCTATACTCAAAGGGATTGCGTATTCGGGGCTGGATTTTGACATCCTGCCCACACAAAGCAGCATTTGACTCCAGGAATGGTCCAGCAGCTTCTCAGCGGTAGCCCACCTAGGCTCACTCTGAGCGCTGGGATCCAGCCCTGTAGGGTGCATGCCAAAGCAAATAGGAGTTCTGGCAGTGTTAATACAAAAACATGCAATAATATCCAAAGAAGCTCACAAAAAGCTCTCTTTTTCAACCGTTTCTCTTTTTTTTTTTTTTTTTCCCCCCATATTTTTTATACGTATTTGTTTTCCGCTCTAGGAACTCAGGGGGTTTTGCTCTCTCGGGTAAACTGCTGGGACTGGCCTGGTGTTTGCGCAAAGGAGAATGTCACCCAGTTGCCTACCATTAAGATTTACGAGAAGGGAGAGCGATCAGTGATGTACAATGGCATGTGGGGAACCGAAGAACTGACCAGCTTCATCATGCTGTAAGTATCTGTTAATGAGTCCCCACGCAGTAAGACTGGCACATCGGCCAATGTTCTGGATACTTCACAGCCTGTGTAATGGAAATCCTTTTTGGAAAAATAATGCCAGGTCTGATTGTAGACCTGGTTTGGAAATTAGCTTGATAACCTTCTGTGCTTTTCGATGTCAGGGAACATCTGTTCTTGGACAGCGCATCCATCTGTTGTCACTGTCCCTCTCTCTTGGCTGGAATTCCTTCTTTGTTGTTTTTAATGGGGATCCCAAGGATCTCAGAGCAACCAGTTTGGCTCAGGGCTCTTCCCTCTTCCCCATAACCAGCTCGAGTGCCTCTCTGTGACTAGGCCTTGTCCTTCCTTCCCAGGCGACTGATTTTTGTCTCTAATGAGGCATAACGGTTGTCATATTGGGTTGAGGCATTGTTGGACTGAGGTTGCCCTTTCGTCTCTTCACCCCAAAAGTGAAGAAGAAGGCAGCCCATGTTGTTCCTCTGCCTTTCCGTAGGAGCCGAGTTTCCTGCCCTCTGAAACTGGCCACGATTGATGAAGCAGAAGGATATTTAAGAGGAGAGTTTCCATCTGAGCTGTCATCCTATCACCACACTTCGCTTCTGGGAGTATTTAGCACAGCCACGAGTGAAGGTTAGTGTGGTATTTGTGGGTTAAGCACTCAGCTTCATTCCTGGTGGGAGAGGGATGATTCCAGGTGCTTGGAAGTTCCTCCGTGTTTCATTTTCTCTAAGCGTGTTTGCTCACATCACAGCCTGCCTGGCACCACCCTTTTTATTTTTGCAAGAAGAAGATAGCCGGTGATTCCAGCTGTGGGACCTAAGGTCCATATCCTGGCTCAGAGGACATTCGGCTGCCGGGCATGTTTACTACACCCGGCGTGGTAGCGTCTGAGGACCCCGACAGAGATTGAGACATGGCGCTCGGCGCAGTTCAAAACAACAGTGCCCTGGGTGACCTCTCTCTGCAGATGTCCAACCTGAACTTACCCAGCCACGGTTTGTGCCTGTTGTCCCTGTTGGTATCTCCTGCCCCTTACCGTGAGGAGTTTGGCTCTGTCCTCTTTATGAGTCCCCTTCAAAGTAGTTGTAGGCTGCCATTAAACACCCTCTTAGTCTCTGACTGAACAAACCCAGATCCATCAGCCTCTTCTTGAAGTCCATGTACAACATGTCACAGCATACTCTGTCTTAAAGAAAGCCCTTTCCGCTATTGGATTGATAGTTATCTTGCTGACTCCTCCTCCTGCAAATGTGGTCGTCCCAGTCCTTGCAACCAACACACAGTCCAAAAGCTTTTTTTTTTAAAAAAAGCAAAGCAGCAATAAGGTAAAATACAAATTTCTTACATCAAAAGGAAGGAAATGCGAACAACTCTGTGAAATCCACTTGTGGACTTTGAAATAGGTGGGCACAGCCCCCAGAGTGGTGGGCATCAGCTAGAAATGCTCAGCAAAGTTGCTGGAAGGAGTGTTCTGAACTTGTTGGAATTCGCCTCGCTTTGTAGTCTCGGTCGGTATGGTTCTGGCCAGTGGCTGAAACTTGGAGCAGCCATGCTCCCCCTCCCCTGCCTGCTGCGTAGGGTGCTGTTAGTCACTCAGATGCTGCTCCAGTATCGTTCGTTGCCACGGCTGTGGTCCAGGATCCATTGGGTCTCCACAACCTTTCTGAAAGATGGGAAAATTGACCCGAGAGCTACGGTGATTTTTCATGTGACGGTCATACACGTTAACAAGGGAGAGGGAATGAAGTCAGTCTGGAAAGGGAACATCAGGTCATGCTTCAGTCAAATCCACACTGGAGAGCTAGGACCTCCCAACCCCACGGTCTCTCCGTTACCAGCTACCCCTGGGAATTACTGCGTAAAAAAAGGAGAATTTTTCTGATCTGTCTTAAGATCAAAATTTCAGACTGTTTTTCATTTTGAAGCTCCGTTGTGCCTGTAAACTTTGGCTAAATGCAAACCAAGCCACTTTCTCGCATGAGGAGGTCCAGAGGGAATCCGCTGTGCTCAGAGGTAGGAACAAAATAAAATGTCTGGAACCAACCAGAAAACACTTGGGCTGTGTTCACCGAGCCAGCTGACAGCTAATACGCCTGCCTTCTTCTGGAGGGTCTAAGTCTGTTAAATATAGCAGAAAATCTTATTGATCTCAAAAAACCTTTAGCCCATTTCTGCCTGGTTTTCATCAGCTGAGCTCCAAAATCTCCCCTCTATTCCACATAACTCTGCGGTAGTGGAGCCTGGACCAGCTCCGTGGTAGGACCTTGGACAACACGGGGTCGGTGAGAGGTGTTCGTGGAAGGAACCTGCCTGGATCCAGCTGGACGTGCGAGCTCAGACTCTTTTCTATATAGGAGAAGTTAATTTCCTTCTGTGCAAACAAGAGTCTTGGAGGTTTCCGGACAGCTCTGTGCGGAGCCCGCAAGATTGCCTCTTCCCTCGGGGCACACTCAATCTGCAGTCTGGAATGGCATCCGCAGTCTGGGGTAACTCAGCTGCAGATGCCAAGGGAGATGAAATATGTGATGCTTTCACTGCCTGTAACCTGAGGGGTGTTCGAGCGTCATGCAGAACAACCTGAGGGAGCAGAAAACTGGAGCCAGCTGTTCTGGCACCAAACCCAGGCGAGAGTCAGGGAAACCACATTGCTGCTCTTATCAGCCTGCAGATTTGTCTGGAATATCTAGTGATTTTCTCACGGCAAGAATTCCTGCGCTAACCTGAATCAGCAACCCACTGTGCCATTGCCAATTCTAGTTAACTGAAATAGAGCAACGAGATGTCCAGTTAAATAAAGCCCTGGATTTCTTCCAACACTTAGCATCAGAACTGTGTTAAGAAGCCCTTCAGTGGGTCTGAGCTAGAAGAGGCTTGTCGGAAAAATCGTAATCAAAATTTATTACAAAGAGGTGAATGATATTACTAGGGCAATGAGCAAGCTTTTTCCTAGAAACTTGGAGAATTTATAGGCGAGAAATTTGTTTGCTATGCAGAAACTGGAAGCATACTTGGAAGTAAGAGTCTGTCCTAAACTGTGCAGCAAATGTTTTAAAAGATACCTGTGTTCTGCAAAGCTCTGGTCACATCGTAGGGCTTGCCAGCACCGGTGTAAACCAAGTGAAGAAGGCATGCAAAGGTGCTACAGGTGCTGCTGGAGAGCATGGTTTCACGAGATGCCTTCTGCTAGAGGGGTAAGGGGTTGTGCTCAGATCCTGCCTCCGAAAACTCTGCAGGAGCTGTAGACCCTTCCTCATCTGGCTGTTTTATTCCTCCTTCTTCCCAAATCCTGCAGTGAGGCTGCACTTGTGCAATTCATGGGAGCTGTCGTGGAAGGCAGCTGGGATTCCAGCTCGAGGCATGTGCCGCAGCGCATTATCAGGCCCTGCGAGGAATTAAAACCATGCTCTCAGGGGGGGACTAATTTTCTAGGAAATACTGAAATAGCTTCTTTGGAAGTGCTTCATGTCTGTAGCGCAGCTGTCTGAATTTGGGGGCTTCTTGCACAGAGCTAAGAGACTGCCACTGTGAGGTGTTGAGAAACGAAGGCTGGTGCGTGGCCCTGGGTCTGGCACAGTCCCCAAAATATGGACAAATTTGGAAGTGTGATAGGGAAGGAAGATCTCACCAGGAATGACCCTGATGAAAGGAGTAAGCCTGGACTCTGCTGAAGGTTGTCCTGCTTTAGGAGAGAATTCCTGCAGCCAGGGACGCTGCAGGGCAGCACTTCAACACGGGCTTACGTCTCCAGTGAGGCCTTAAAGTTAAATGCCTGTAGAAGTGCTCTCCTGAGGAAGTTTGGATGTGAGCCTGCTCTTTCCACGTCAGGCCGTGTCCTTTAGTGCCTTATGGCACAGGGCGGGCTGATGGTCTGCCCCGTGGCCTTTTCTCCAGTAGCTGGGACATGGACAATTTCACAAGGGGTTTGTTGGTGAAGTTCTCGGTGATCCGTATCAGCTGGTCCTATGGGTTGCTTTTCTTTTGACACTGATAAAATCAGGTGACCAAAGACCAAAGAGCTGGAAACCAACGTCAAACCCATCCAATGCTGGTTTCTCTATATCACAAGATGAACCAGCCAAGCTGTGTCACCAGCTTTGTTGTATATGTGTTGTTTCCTACAATGTCTGAACCCTCAACGAGCCACTCCTTTAAGGATCTAAGCTTCCATTTGGAAAGGAAAATAGCGTAACGTAAAGGTTGTGGTCCCTGTGGGTTCCAGGGAAACACAATGGAAAATATGGCTTTGAGTGTAGCTGGAAAACAGGAAGCAAAGAACCAAAAAGTGACCAGTTGTGAGCCAACCTCAGTCTACTGAGGTCTGAGTCACCGGTCCCAAGAGCTTGGGCTGGCCAGTTGTGATATGATGGTGAACGTTATGAGGAACACTAAATAGTGTCTGAATGAGATCTTATTTAAGTTATAAAGCAACATATATCATGGCTGTATCTGAGATGTAACCTTAACTCTTGGGAAAACCTGACTTCTCCAAAGACTGTGCTTTCTCAATCTCGAGTCGGAAGAGCCTTTTTTGTTGCTTTTGATTGCTCAATGTAAAGGGGGAGGGGTGGTGGTGTTGAAATCTGCCCCATTTTCACCCTACCTTTGGCAGCAGCGGTTTTGATCTCTGATCTGTAACTGTATTTTACAAGCTCGCTCACTGTGGCTTGCATGTTCTCACAAAGCTTGCCTCTCCCGTGGATCCAGCTGCCTAAAACTCAGGATGTTTTATAAGGGCATAAACCAGCTCTGGAGTCAGCTTCGTTGCGGGGCTCTGCTCTCCGTCTCTCAGCACGGATAGATTCAGCTGTGATGGATCAAGAAAGCCCCAACCCAGTCCTTTCCTCCCCATCCTCTACCTGACCTCGCCGTCTCCGTGAGGCGGGTGGTGGACCCCAGCAGCCGCTGCACGTGGGTTTATGCTGAGCTGCGACGGCAGAGGTGCTGCCCTCTCTTTGCAGCTGCACGAAGCGGTGGAGCATGCTGTTTCTGCAAGGCATTTAGCTTTTTGATCCTCCCTGTCCTAGCTGGATGCCTGTAACAGACCCTGCCTGCTCTGAGGAACTGGATAAAACGAAAAGACCCTTGGGGGAGAGGTTGGTTTATCTGCTGGGCACTTAGCACTACTCCAGTTAAGTCATCATCAGTCATTTCCACAAGGTCACTGGGATTTATAAGATTTCTATTTAGACATAATTGGTCTCCTGTTTCTAAGAACACTTATGGACATTAAGTCCTTACAGACATTCCATTTTCCATCAGCTCCTCTGTCGTGCAGATCCTGGAAACTCAGTGCTGGTGGCTAAAGAGCAAATACTGTTCTCGTACTAGGAACTTTCGTTCTGATCCTTTTGGCCGCTGCCAGCTCCTCCTCCCATAGCCTGGGGCCATGAGGCGCATCCATTTCTCATGAGCCTCTAATGGTAGTTTTGTTCCCAACTGGCAGTTTGCTGTGGGAGGGTGTTATGTGTGCAGTCAGCGATTTGGTTTCCAGGAGGAAGCTGACACTTCTCTTTCTATTGTTTATTTTTGTATTTTTGTCTTTTTTACAGCCAGGGAAGCTTTCGAAGAGGCAGGAAGCATCTTAAGTGGCCATGTAACGATGGGGATGTATTTTGAAGATGATGCCTTGGCTTTGTAAGTTGTTTCTCTTTTTCTTTGGTGAGAATTCAAACTGATCTGCATTTAGTGAAAGCCAATGCCTACAGCAAGTGTCACTGGCCATGCTGAGTGTTTAGCAGCAGCCCCAAACAGCTACGAGTGACTTAGTCCTGTAGGGAGATTGGTCAGGACTCAGCCAGAGAGAGAGAGAGAGAGAGAGATATGCCCTGGCTCTGCCACTGATTTACAACCTGTCCATGGTCAACTCGTTTAGCCCCGGTGTAATGAATGGCCATCTCCCTTCCTGCTGTTCGAGTTCACTCTAGGTATCTTCAGTCCTCCAGCCGTGCCAGCCCCCCATGCATCTGTTGGGTTCCTCATACAAAGAGGACCAAAGTTATATGGGGAAAAAAATCAGGCTGGAAAAATGATACCCTCTAGCTAGGATCAGTGTGTGAGGAAGAAAAACCGGTTCTGCCCTTCTCTTTCCATCAGGAAGAAGTGACAAGTTGTTACTGGTCTTCCTCTTTCTGCGGTCCCTTCACCTTCTCATCTCCTCTTCCCTGCCCTGATGCTGGGAAAGTGCCTGCCGAGGTGGGGATGGGGAAGGGGAGCCTAAGAGGATTGCTGCAAAGCCAGGGGTGTAAATGTGAGTCTTGCTCTGATGGTTGCCCCCAGTTGCCAAGAGCAGCCAAAGGAGAGGCTGCTTGTGACGACTTGCCGGCTTTCTTGGCTAGCAGTGGGGTGGGCATTGTGTCTGGGTGCGGGAGAATGGTTTGAAAGCCCTGAAATAAATGCTGTCTTTCCATGGAGCTGCTTTGACGTGGAGCAGACGGCCTTTCTGCAGCCCTGCGGAAGGTGCTAAACCCCTTCGGTCTCATCCAGCTTCCCGGGGGGCACTCGCATCTGGCTGTGAGATGTTTGCAGCTGCCAAGGGAGTGGAAGAACCTACCTCTATCTTTTCACCAGTTAATCTTACCGTGGCTCTTTTTTTTCTTGAAAGATGTGCCCACCCGTTTCCCCCCCCTTGGCCGGAGCAAGACATTACCACCGTTTCCAGACAGAGCTTTGGGGTGGGTGCACCCTCGTTCTGGAGGAAAATTACTGGAAAAATATGGCAGCCTTCCTCCTGCAAATGTGGTAAAGGCGAAGTCCAGGCTTTCTTGGTCGGTTCCTGATTGAATAAGATCATCAGCTGCGGCCGTAACTTTAAGCCAGATTGGAGCTAATGGGATCTGGGCATGTATCAGTCCATGCGCTTAACTGTGTCATTAAGACTCGCTCCGGCAAGGGGCAAAGTGCTTTGGATTAGACTGCGAGAGACGCTTCAGTGCCTATAAATGCAGCTAGATTCAGGGGGAATCCTCAGCTTGTCCTGGCATCTCATTTCCATCAGGAATTAGCTATCAAGGCAGAGTTAACAATCCCAGAAGGTCCTTGGCCTGTTTTCGAGGTGTGGGTTTAACAGCCAGTAATGCAACAGTGAATTATTTTCATTAGCTTCTTACAGATGCGATGCATCTCTAACATGTCTGATGAGACGTGGGCATTTTTGTGGTATGCACGGAGAATAAAAATGCAAATATCTTGGTAGTACATCCCCATTAACCAAACTGTGCTCAAAGCACCAGCCGTGGTCGGGTCTTAGAGGCGAGGCGGTGCTAGGCTTGTTCAGTGCTGGGGTGGGAGACCACTGGGTGATGGCAGTGTCACGGCAGAAGTCACAAGCAGCAGCATCAGGGTGAAAAACCTGACACCCCCTCCCCAGCTGAAAGGCTTTTCTCCCCTAAGGACCTCAGCCCAGCTGGTAGAAGGAAAGAAAGCAAAGGAGGGCAGGGTGATCTTTCTTACAAAACAAGGTACCGGTAGAAAAAGCCTGTGTTCTCTCAGCAATGACACACGCAAGAATACACCTCCATCCTCCTGCTCCAGCCGCGGTCTGCAGCGTGCTCCTGTTTAGTTGGAACAGTTAATACAGTTTATAAAGATATTCAGTCTGCCAAGTTTGGATTTTGGCTGTGATTTGTGGGTGAAGCTACTGTAGATAGATCTGTAGATCTTCTCAACTGTAAGTAGAAAAGTAAACACTTACAGGAATTCCTTATGCAAGAGCCAGGCTCACTTCCCTTCTTAAGAAAAGAAAAGCTGTTCTTCTGCTAAACGCTCAAGGAGGAAATGTTCGTGGTTCCCAGGTCACGGAAAACTGAGTCCCCTCTTCCCAGAGAAAAAGGTGTACAGAATACAGAGTGAATGTTGTTAGCAAAACTCTTTGCTCAGCAAGCACCTGCTCAGTCGGTAACTAATGAAAAGAAAAAAAGCATCAAGAAATGCTTTGAATGAAGTTATTATTTATTTCTCAAATGCTTCGGTGTCTCAGATTCCTGCCAAGTATTTGTTTGCAGATGTTTTTGATTTAAATGCAAGTCTCATATTACCCATCGAATGCCCCTGCTATGTAAATAGAGAGCTGTCGTAAGCAACAATACAACCACTTGGTAGCAGTAAGATGAGAAGTGATTTCAGTTAGACTCTAGCTATTAGATGGGGAATTTGCTGGTTTTCTGGCAGTATACAAGAAACTTCCTTATCAAAGGCTGCTGACCAAGTTGATGTATTCAGACATAGGGAGCAAGAGTCCTTACCTCCTCTGAGACATGATCAAGGCGGAGAGTCTCTTTAAAACCTGTGGAAGTTTGAGAAGTTCAAAATCCCAGAATTTAAAAATTTTCTAGGGTTTTCCCGTTCTTAACCGATGGCAAATACAGGTTAGTTTGAAAAACAACAGAGAGGAAAGTTAAGGATCTTCCTAATAGCTCAAAGGGTTCCCAGCCACGGCCAGAGGTGTGAGACTCAACTTCTTTGAGTAGCAGAGCTTGGGAGTCCAGACGGAAAGGGGAAAGCTTACAGGGCTGGATTTACAAAGATAAATCAAAAAGAGCTGAAATGGCTCGGATAAATCCAGGGACAGTTTAGCAATGGATTCACAACATTTGAAGGCTTCAGGAAAGTCCACGGACATTCGTTACTGCTGCTTTTTATCGAGACATCAATGCAGATCTGGGGTGCCCCTTAGAAATTTGCAGTGGGTGTATTACTTCCCAACAGGTTAAGTGCTGTGACGGAGGAAGTGAAAAGCCTACGTATGAGCTGAACATCATGGAAACGTCTTATCTGCAGTTCCCTCCACTCGCTTTGTCATTGATGACCTAAAACACCAAACACTGAGAGTTTTAAAGGAAATTTGAACAAAGCTCCGTCCCGTTCAGAACTGCTAAAATAAGTGTCCAAACTGAACTTGCCTGAGCAAACCATGGAGGGAAGTGCGATAGGTTGTAACGTGACTTTTCTACGAGCTGCCTTTCATTAAAAATAAGTAGTTTGTTCTGCAGCAGGCTGAGTCTGTGTTGCATCTTTCTCAGAATTACTTTTGAACGGGAATCAAAGGCTTTCCACCTCCCCACCTCCCCAACCCAAAACGTCCTTACTCCTCACTCACTTCCCCAGCAATTCTGGTGTCACAGCCTTTGAAAAATTGCCAGCAGCCTTTGAAAAATAAACTACAGACACCCCCAAAAAAACTGTTGAGGCAGCTGACTTCCTCCATCGCGCCCTTCCTCTGGGCACTGACATCTGGAGCCTTCAGGACTGAAGTTCCTCCAACTTCCAGAAAATTGCTCTCCCGTCTTGGTGTACCCCCTGCCCTTTCATTGCTCAGACTTCTCCTATTTTTGCTCTTTTCACCTTCTCAGCTTTTCTTTAAATACCCTTGAACCCTCTTACCAGCAGAACATTGGGGAACAAAGGATGAGCTGGCTTCTCCACCAAGAGTATACGTCTGCAGGCTCTGTGTGTTGCTCTAACGTGGGGCTGGACTTCAGCAAAATTGCCCGTGTTCACCAAGCCAAAAATAAGATCTCCTGGAGCTTATTTTGTGTAGGTTGGTGTCCTTCGGATGGAGTCTAAGACCTTCTGTTTGCTATGGCTCGGGAGGCAGAGTAAAGTGCTGGGTGGGTATTTGCACCACCTAACCTTAGGTGTGAAAACGAAAGAGAAGTGCCAGCAAACAGTTTAGAAGGTGGTGGTTTGGATTTTCCCTATTATTTAGCTGCTGATGTCTTTTTGCAGAAGAAAGTGCCGTTTGTGTGCGTGTGTATATTTAGCGTCTGGTGCGAGCTGGGTAAGTGCTTGTTTCAGAAGGGGACGAGGGAACACGTCGGCCCCATCTCTTCCCCGTCTAATCAGGACTGCGCAGGGGCTGGAGAGGGGGTGGTGGGGAACGTGACCCTTTCCTCCTGCAGGTGCCTGTGCCTCTAACAGCAGCCTTTGCCCTCCCCTACACCCCTGTCCCTGCTTTTCACCATGGGGCTGCCAGCTCCGCGTGCAGCAGATTTGGTGCGTGCCAAATCTCCCGGCCAGTTCTCGTTACCATCCCTCTTTTTCAGATCCCGTAAATACGCGGTGTCTCCCCCAGCCCTCCTCCTTGCCAGGAGCGGAGGTCGGAGCGTGGAAGGCATCGCTTTGTCCAAGCAGAGCGCGCAGGACATGGTGCGGACGATCAGATATGAATCGCTGGACATTTTTGTAAGTAAAAAAAAACCAAAACAAAAGTGTCCTTTTTCCGTTGCGGTCGTTTGCAGGAGCCCTGATTATAGCGTGGAGCTGTGCAAAATAAATACATTTGCTCATTATTTCTATCATGCTGTTACGTTTGTTTTTAAATTTTATGGCTTGGATCAGACAGTCTGGACCGAAGTCTGCTGTTTGCTGTGTGGTCTCGTGGGAGGAGACCCTGGGAGTCAATCGACTGGCTTGTGCTCATAGTCACAGACCCGCTGCTGTGGTGGCTTGGCCTCTCGCAGAGTCTGCTCCCTGCCTCTTGCACATGCCTTTCGGAGTCTCGTTAGAGCCGTTTTGGGACCAGTACTGTTTAATATCTTCATCAATGACATAGACAGGGGGATCGAGTGCACCCTCAGCAAGGTTGCAGATGACACCAAGCTGAGTGGTGCGGTCAACACGCCAGAGGGACGGGATGCCATCCAGAGGAACCTGGACAAGCTCGAGAAGTGGGCCCATGTGAACCTCGTGAGGTTTAACAAGGCCAAGTGCAAGGTCCTGCACCTGGGTCGGGGCAACCCCCGGTATCAATCCAGGCTGGGGGATGAAGGGATTGAGAGCAGCCCTGCCGAGAAGGACTTGGGGGATACTGGTGGATGAAAAGCTGGACATGAGCCGGCAATGTGCGCTCGCAGCCCAGAAGGCCAGTCGTATCCTGGGCTGCATCCAAAGCAGCGTGGCCAGCAGGTCGAGGGAGGGGATTCTGCCCCTCTGCTCTGCTCTGGTGAGACCCCACCTGGAGCCCTGCGTCCAGCTCTGGGGCCCTCAGCACAAGAAAGACACGGACCTGTTGGAGCGGGTCCAGAGGAGGGTCACAAAAATGATCAGGGGGATGGAACACCTCTGCTATGAAGAAAGGCTGAGAGAGTTGGGGTTGTTCAGCCTGGAGAAGAGAAGGCTTCGGGGAGACCTTATTGCAGCCTATCGGTACTTAAAGGGGGCGTATAAAAAAGATGGGGGCAGACTTTTTAGCAGGGCCTGTTGCAACAGGACAAGGGGTAGTGGTTTTAAACTAAAGGGGGGTAGATTCAGACTAGATCTAAGGAAGAAATTTTTTACGCTGAGGGTGGTGAAGCCCTGGCCCAGGTTGCCCAGAGAGGTGGTGGATGCCCCATCCCTGGAAACATTCCAGGTCAGGCTGGACGGGGCTCTGAGCACCCCAATCTAGTTGAAGATGTCCCTGCCCACGGCAGGGGGGTTGGACTAGATGGCCTTGAGAGGTCCCTTCCAACCCAAACTATTCTGTGATTCTATAACACGTGGAGCTGGGCTGAGCTGGCCTTGCTTCTGCCTTCTCTGCTCACACCCCTTCATCTCAGAGTGCACAGCTGCTCATACAGACTTGGCTTGTGATGGGCAGGGTTGGGCGTAGACATCTCTAACGTCCACCAAGATCCCAGCACCCACGCTTGTTTTTGAGCTGCTTGCGTTCAACATGGACCCTACAGCCTTGTTTAGCCCCTGCACCCCTCACGTAAGGACAGAAAGTCTAATTTTGTCCTGCTCTCTCCTCCCCATAAACCCCAACTTCTTGTTTTGATGTCTCGCAGCCAGAAATCACCGTGCAAAATCTGCCCCGCTACTTGCAATTCAGAAAGCCCTTCCTCATCTTGTTCAGCGATGGTGACATCAGTCAAATGGAAAGCAAGGAAATGCTGAAGCTGGCAAAAGGAAGACCCCAGGAAGCGTTTGTGGCTTGCTGGTTGAACTTGTAAGTGTGTAAAAAACTCTTTTCTTCTTTCCGTTAGCTCGCTCTTAGCATTGAGGGCAAGAAAAAACTGAGCCTGCAATTACTGAAAACACTGGTAATGTGATTACTTGATCTGAAGTCATCCTGAGTTCGGAGGTCAAATCATTTAGCAATGATTCAGTATGTGTGCTGGGCAGCTGCAAAATCGCATGACCAAGTAAAATTAGTTACTGTTTAATTGATTGCAGAAGTAATTTTCAGTAGAGTAAAATGTTCTCAAAGACATTTCATGGTAGCTTGACCCTGCCTCTGGTGTTATTTTTATTTTTGTCCCATGTGGGAGAAAGAAGTAAATTTGCCCTCCTGGAGGGTCTCATGGTGATTTTTCCACCGGCAATTAGGGGGAAGCACAACAGGGCAATTACTGATTGTTGACCGGGAGAAAGAAAGTTTTCAGAAGAAGGGACAGCCAGAAGAAGCCCCATAAGGCAAACTTAAAAAAAATTCAAGAAACAAAACGAATCCAGGAGCTAAGAAATAGAAAGTTGTAGGAGAGGGGATTTTTTTTAATTCTCTCCTCCCTAGTTGCTTTTTCAATTTGTAGCCTCTGTTTGTTTTGCCCCAGCCCAGAGACACCTCACTGTCTTAATCATAACGTGCTTTGAAGTCTGGGAAGCGCCTCGCAGCGTGGGCTGAAGTTTAACTAAGGGGGAACGCACATGTTTTCAAAGAGAAGACGATTTGTTTGCCAGTAATGCACAAGAAACGAGAGCCCCTAGAACTTCCCCACCTACACATCTGCCTTTGTTCTCCCTTCCTGAGAAAGAGCGAGCTGTCCTTCGTCAGAGCGAAGGGGCAAAGAGGGCAGAATGTGGCCACTGGCTCGGAAAGAGCAGCATAGTCCTAGAAAGAGGACCTCATTCCCATGGCGAGAGCCGGCTCAGACCTCGAGGATCACTCTCGGCCTGAAAATAGTGCTGGAAGGACTCAGCATCTTCGTATGCTTGCTGTCCCTCCATCTCGATGTCCTCTTCTGGCTCTCTGTGTCACTTGGGGAAGTTGCCCTTTCAGCTCCTCGGGCCGTGGGGAACCACACAGCAGCTGCCCAGGGGCCGGACCGCCTGAGCACAGCCCTCCGCACCAGCTCCTGCCTTTCCATCCCCTGCGGACTTGCTGCAGCCATGGGGCGGTGGCAGCAGCTGGGCTGGAGGGAGCTGGTAGCTCTCCCTGCAAACAGGGGCTAACCACAGGGGGGGCTGCAGGATCTGTCCCGCTCCTGTCTCACCTGTTCTTAAACACTTACGGTGGAGAACATTCCACACCCTCCTACAGGGTTTGCTCCAGCTCCTCCTGCTCGAGGATTTCTTTGCACGTCTAATCTGCTGTCCGCTCCCTCTCCGTTGGATCCTAATGGCTTGCTTAAGGCATTAAGCTTATAAATAATGCAGTGAGCTTCTACAGCTGTCCCGCAGGCAAAACTGTGTGCTTTGCTGGATGTGGCCCAAGGGCTTTGGTGCTCGCTCGGCTCTCAGTCCTGTTGTGCTGCCAAACTGCTGGTGAGCAAGTTGAATCTCCTCTTCCCAACAGGAAGAAGACGCCAGTGGGACGCGGGGTCCTGAAGGCATACTTTGCCACCATGCCTTCGCTGCCTGTTCTCGTCTGGGTGAACCTTCATGCCGGGGGTCAGGTATTCAAGTTCCCATCAGAGCAGTCCATCACTGAAATGAACATCTTGTCTTGGCTGGAGAAGCTAAAAGCAGGACTGGAGATTCCCAGCAGTAAGTGGACACGCGTTTGTAATGTTCCTAAGCGTGCACTGTTAGCTCCGGTCTGTTTATGAGAAGATCCTATGTGCAATAAATTGTCTGCCCTGGAATTTAATGATGGAAAAACTAGCTATGATAGTTTGAGCTGGAGAAGTACAAATAGTCCAGCCAGAAGAGAATACCCACACTCACGAGTTTGCTTCGGGACTGTTTAATGTTCAGAGCCAGGCGTGAATAGTTCTGAATCGACATCTCTTCCCTGCGATAACCCCCAAACCTGGCTGTGCTCTCCGATTCCTGCAAACAGACCTCCTGAAACACAGCTAATAAAAAAGTCGCCTGACTCCCAGTCATCAGCGTAAGAAATAGCTGCTCTTTAGGCGCCTTCCAGCATTTTTTTGGACAGGAGAAGATAAGGAAGCTGGTGCTTTGCTGTGGTCTTTGGGACATAAAGGGTTGGCTTGTACCGTGAAGCTTTTCACTGCGTCCCTCCTGCCTTGATCAGCCCACTGAAGCTTTGGAGGAAGGCGGCACAGATATGCCTTCCTCATGTGTTATGCGTAGCCATAGGTGCTATAGGGTTCTTCGAATTGCCGGCTGCCAGCCTGCTCCAGGCTCCGGAAAGGCAATGGGGTTGACTCCACTTGATCCTTGTGAATTTTAAAACGAGCCTTTCAAAGCAAGTGTTTCCAAAAGCTGGCATCAGCCTGGTGGGGGAAGATGTGTAGGCTCTTGCCGGAGCTGAAGGCACCATTTCTGACCCAGTAATCGCTGGAGAACCCCGTGAGCCAGCTGTCCTCCCACACCTCTTTCCATCATAGAATCATAGGATAGTTTGGGTTGGAAGGGACCTCTCAAGGCCATCTAGTCCAACCCCCCTGCCGTGGGCAGGGACATCTTCAACTAGATCAGGGTGCTCAGAGCCCCGTCCAGCCTGACCTGGAATGTTTCCAGGGATGGGGCATCCACCACCTCTCTGGGCAACCTGGGCCAGGGCTTCACCACCCTCAGCGTAAACAATTTCTCCCTTATATCTAGCCTAAATCTGCCCCCCTTTAGTTTAAAGCCATTCCCCCTTGTCCTGTCACAACAGGCCCTGCTAAAAAGTCTGTCCCCATCTTTTTTATAAGCCCCCTTTAAGTACCGATAGGCTGCAATCAGGTCTCCCCAGAGTCTTCTCTTCTCCAGGCTGAACAACCCCAACTCTCTCAGCTTTTCATCGCCACTGCTAAAGGCACCTGGCTGTCATTTCGGTCTCTAGATAGGGACTTTAGTTTTCAGGGGTGTCAGATGATGCTGACACCACTGCTGATGCCCGAGCAGCTCACTGCACGGCCGCGGGCTGTGCCAGCCATCGCAGCCTCCTTCCTCAAGCTTTTAAGTGCTACGAACCGTGTGATCAGTCTTAAAAGCATAAATTAAAGAGCATCCTCACGTAATGGGACCGCTTCCTCCCCGCACAGACAGCAGTCTGCCCTCGCTCCTGACGGCGTGTCGGTAATGCGCAGTCGTTAGCACAGCTATCTGAGACCCGAACGGAACATCCACCCACTGGTGGACGGACACCCAGTGCGACCTTTGCAGTGGGTGTGTCTGAGGACAGAGGGACCCTCATAGCCTTTGGGGAGCAGAGCCTTGGCCAGCTCCAGTAAATATTAAAGCACACTTGGCTGGTTTAATTTGGCTGGCGTTATTAGTTTTGGAGGAAAGAGGGTGATCTTTAAGAAACGATCTTTAATTTTGCTTTCACTAAAAGAGCAAAAAAAAGCCGTAATTCCTTTGAAAGGGAAGTGTCCGTGGAGTGGGGCTGCGTAACTCCATATTTATTAACACGGGACTGTGTTCACTTCTCAGGTACCTTGTCTGAGGAAGACTGGAAACCACCTCTCCCTGCTTACGACTTCCTCCAGATGATGGAGACGGCCGTGCCCGAGCTCCCCCTCCACACCTCCCACCGCCGCGGGGACACACCGGAGCGGCACCCGCCCGAAAGCCCAGGAGGGGACACCGCTGTCCGGGAGGAGCCATCCCAGGAGACCAAGGTGGAGAAAGTCGGGTCCCCTGGGAGGGACCTGCGGGGGACAGCCCCGAGGCTGGCGGCAAGGGAGAAGCAGGGCAAGAGACACAGCAAGCTCTGAGAGCTGGGCATCCCCCTGCCCGGGGCAGTGAAAGATGTGGGACGGTGCCCAGAAAACCCTCTCACTTCCCCAGCCCTCTGTGAGCCTTTACACCAAGGAGAGAAGTGCTTTTAGCTGTAAATTAATGGTGATGGGATAAAACAGCCCCTAAGTCTCAGTGTGAGTTCCCTGCCGCAGATGTGCCGGTCGTTCTGCGGTGGCTGTGGTTTCTGATGCCAGAAGCATGTCTGTACACCCCACACCTTGGCCCCCCCCGGCTGCTGTTGGGATTGCAATTCACAGCAAGCGGTGAGAGCAGATCTGCAGGGAGGTTGCTGCAAGGGAGCTCAGCCCACCCCGTAGCTGGGGGAGAGATGGGGTGAGCTCGCCGCGCGCTGGAGGCTCGCCCACGCGACGAGCTACGCTGGAAAAGTCGAATCAGCGCGGCCCTGCTCTACAGTTTCTGTATGTCTCACATGGGCGCTTCGGTTGCCCCCGAGCAGGAAGGGGTGAGTGATTCCAGGATGAAAAGCACACCTCTCTCCCCCCGGTTGCAGTAGCAGCTCTACTGATGTGTGTCGGCAAGCCCTGCTCTCGAAAAGAGGTTACATCTGCACCGTAACCGTGCGGAGCTGGGAGGGCAAGCGTGCCACCCACTCCAGGGCTGCTTAAACTGGCACCCGCTTGTGTTTACACCTGACTTGTGAACCGAATTCGTGAGCATGTTCATCCTCAGGGGGGTAAGAGGAGTATCTGCTTAAAGCAGTTTTCTTACGAAGGCCAGAGCTCAGGTCATCACAACAGCCGTGAATAGCTGGGACAAAAGTCTGCCAGCAGATCCCAAGGGCAGGCAGGTTGGAAGATGGCTTTGCTCAATGCTGGCATTTTCTTGGTTACAAGCCCGGGGGGTTATTTACAGCCTTGATTTTTCTTTGCTCTCGGTGACAGCAGCGAGGTTGGTGCCTCCTGAGCTGAGGACAGTGCGGGGAGTGAGGTCCGCAGAAAGACCAGCGCTTTGGAAACAAGGGGAGGGAGATGAAGGACAAGGCTGGCAGTGCTGGGGACAGGCTATCCCGATGTGGGATGGAGCTGCTTCACATCCGTATCTAGATGGGGAGACGCAGGGCCTGCAGAAGTGGCTTTCCAGCCTCTGCTCCTCTCCTAGGGACAGCAAAAGGTCTGTCGTTCCTTGCTGGAGAACCTGAGCCTGCAGAACAGCGTGGGCTGCGGGCTGGGGAGAGCCGTGTGTTTGGAGGGAAGCTTTGTCTAATCCCACCCATGCCATGACGATCTTCCCACCCCCTTCAAGAAACATCTGCTCCTTTCCACAGTACTGCCGAGGTGTGCCGGGAGGGTCGGATCCTCCTCACGGCTCTGAAGTTACTGGGGAGGGGAAAAATTGATGGTAAGGAACTGCTGAGAGCATTGTAAAGTCTGTATTTCTCATCCTGCAAGCAGCCCACATGGTTGGGAGTATTTTGAAATGCCCAGAAATAGACCATTAGTCCTGGGCTCTCCTTGAAGCCCTTAATTGAAACAGACCATTTTTGGACTTAATGACAGCGTTAGAGCCAAAATGTATGTATTTAAAGTAATAAACTGTAGTATGCAGATCGGAGCCTGCCATGCAGCCAAGTATTCCCAAGGGAAAGCGTAGGTCAGGGCGCGAACAGATCCTCCGTGAGTTCCCGTCATTCCTCTGCTGTATAAGGCCGTTACGCTGCGCTCTGCGAGCTGTACGTCGGTCGTTTCCCGTCCTGTCCCTAATGACGCCGCTGCTGCTGTTGCAGCATCGCTCTCCCACTGTGGTGCAGGTGAAGTGCGATATTCGGGCTTCTCGTTGATGTCTTAAATAAATTCTGTATCCCAAGTACAGTCAATCTGCATCTGTCTCGGGCGCGGGGTGTTGAGCGGAGGGGCTGGTGTCCGGGGCTGGGGTGGATGCAGCCCTACGGGAAGGCTCCCCCAGCCCGCCGAGCCCTGCAGCAGAAGGATCCCTTCCTTCAGCAGGGTTTCTGCAGCACGAGGAGCGTTCCCGCGGCCCCGCTCTTCTTGGCCGCGGGTCCTTTTTCAATCGCAGCCCTTCTCTTGTGCAGCATCGGGGCAGGAGCTTGTCACTAGGGGTCAGTGCCACATCTCGGTTACGGCTGCAAAAATTGCTGCCTCTCCCAGTGCTGCTTAATTGATGCTTGAGCATTGCCACCCCCAAAGCGATGGGGGGGGTCGGGTATGGCTATCTGGTGGGGTCCTGTGGGGATGCTGGTGGCTGAGGGACTCTTTGCTCCCAAGGCAGTGGCCGTAGCAAGCCTGGAGGGCTGGGGAGTCCCGGCTCTGCAGGCTTCAGCCCCAACATCAACAGCGGGATCCATCGGCCCGAGCCTCCCGGCTGGGGTTGGGGGTGCCAGGAGCCCTGAGCCAAGCCCAGCCAGCGGGTCCCTGCAGCCTGCCAGCGCAGGCGCCTGCGGTGACTTGGGGAAGGGACGTGCTTGTCCGTGTCCCACCGCTGCTAGCGTCAAACTGGGTCGGCAGCCGTGTTTGCTGGAGCTGCTGACTGCGAGCACGGGCACGGGTCGGGGTCCTGGACCACAACAGGGTGCGCGGGCCTGGCTTTGAGTTTGTTGTTTGGGGTTTTTTTAAATGCAAAATGCCTTTTTCATTGCGTAGCACAAGCAGGCACTTAGGGAAATCTGTCGAGGCATGTATGTGCCAGGATTTGTAAATATATAGGGAGAAAATGTTAGGGCTATTGGGGACAGTTTGATTGTGATCTGCATCCCACAGCGTGCTCATTCGCTGGAGGAAACACTCCCGCACTAGGTTGTTTTTAATAGCTACGGCTCTGAGGACAGACCGGCACGGAAAGAAATATTCAGTGGGCGTTTATGGCCTTGAGTGAGGAGCGAGTCGGAGGAAGGGGGGCTCTGGACCTGGGGGGCAGCTGCGAGGGACGGAGTGCATCCCGCCCGGCTTGAGGAGCGGGATGCCGTCCTGCACGCACCCCTCGGCAAAGAAGTGGAAGGCAGCCAGCGATCGCGGGGGGACTGTGTGCATACCTACCGCTTCCCTCTGCCTCAGCACATACTGATGCTGAAGTGAGGCAAGTTCACAATGAAGGCTGATGCTGTCAGCTCCTTTTTCAACCATTTAACACCAAAAGGCACGTCTGTTTGGGTAAACCACAGATCTACCTCCCTCGATGTCACTACCGAGGTACACGCTGAGCTGAAGAACTGGTAGATTTCCTGACTGATACAGTATTGACTATTTACGGCTTCAGACCAAACTCTTCTTTTGATGGTGCTTTATTTCAGCCATATGCCAAAGGTAGACATTTGCACGTACTTCATGCACTTTGGGAGCCTTTCAGGGGGTGTTTATATGTCAGTGGCTGATCAGAAGATAAAATGACACACACAAAAAAAAGAGGATTATGTGCTTGTCCTGGAGAGCAAAACAATTTAAATTATTGTCCAAAACAATAGGAAATTCCCCATGCGCTGTGGTCTGACTGGTCTTTTGCCATCGTCGATGAGCCCATCAGTTAGGAGGGAGGAAGGCTTGCAGCAGCAGCGTGAGGGAACGTTAAGGGTACACGTTGTGTTTTCCATGTTTAAAGAGCTTTCAGAGGAGGTGCCTGCTGCATGGCTGGGCCAAGGGGTGGTGGATTGAACAGCATGAAAGCCCCCGGGGACCCGGCTGCGGGACGGAGTTTCCCATGCCATCTGCCGCCCTCGGGCATTCGGTGCCGGCTGACTCAGGAGCTGGCACGCTCCCACTTGCTCCCACGGACATCTCCGCTGGGTGCTCTCCAAACCATGGGACATCGGGAAGCAATCACGGCGTTTCTCCCGGCTTTTCAGCCCTTTGAGCAAAACGAGGAACGGTGAAAGACAAGTCCTTGCGGTGGAAGGTGAATTTTCCAAATGGGCTGTTCTCAGCCCATCCCGGACCACTGACGGTCACAGTCCCTCCCGGTAAGCCTCGCTCCGTGGCCAGGCTCTCGTCAGGCTCTGCCATAGGGATACAGCCGCAGGATGGCGGAAGAGAAGGCTGTAGCAGGCAGGAGGCAGGAGAGGGCATTGCCTCCGGGAGGGAGATGCTGCAAGGCAGGAGCGGGGGCACGGGAAGGACGCATCTGCCTGTGCGCAGGCAGCTGCCGCGCCCGCGGTCCCTGGCAGGGCTGCCAGGATGTGAAGCAGATCTGGTGGGCTGGCTTGTGTCTCTTGGGCTCATCGGTTCCTGGTGCTGCGTGGGGACGGCGGGTCTGGCAGGGCTGGGGGACGGCGGGGATCAGTCACTCCATCCGATCTGGTGGTTCAGCCTGGCAGAGATGCTTTCCCTGCTGCCACCCAGCGGGGCAGGTTCCTCTCCAGCACGGCCTGGCCTTGATCCCTGCCATGGGGCACCCTCCCCTGCTGCAGGACCCTGCCGGCAGTGATGGAGCCGCGGACGGGGCTGTTTGCCCGG